AGCTAAGCTCTGTATATAGAAATTGAGATTTTTCGTGAAGCGACTTGACTGCAGGTATAACGCCTGTCTCCTCGAGGAAATAAAACACAGTATTAAACAACTCCCCACGAAGCCCAACAGTCCCACAGTCCCCATTGATACCAACAAAGAAAGTTTTGTCGTGTAACCGGCTGGAGTGAAAATGTAGAGTGGAAAAGGTCCGTGTCCTGACATGTTGCTCAAAGGGCTCAGACTGTCGGTGCTGCCTGATGAGTCAACTTCTGGAATGCCAGCCATATGGGGTCCTAAAAATGTGCAAGAGTTAACATTTTTTTAAAAAAAGATTAAATATTCAGAAATACAAAACTTACAGTAGAGTAGAACACCAATAAAGAAACAAAAGAAAACTTACCATACCTGGAAAACGTAATCAATATAATATGAAAGTAGAATAAATATAAATAAATGCTAGACACCGTTTTCTAGATAAGTGACTCAGAAATCAAGTTACTTTATGTCCTATCTATCGCATTACTTAAGGGGGAGACTGATAGAGGCGACATTCCTGGAACAAAATTTTTCACAATAATGTCCCGTCCACACTACGCCCGAGAAATTTGAAAACGGCGTTTTCACTCTGAAAACGCATCAAATGTTTTTCGTCCACACTACGCCGGAGAAATGTGAAAACGCAACAATCACCGGACAGTTTGGATTTCTGTTTGAAGAAAACTCGCGCAGGAAAATCACGTGATTATGGTGACGTCATTGTGTTTGAAAAGCTGCGTTTTCAGAATGTTTTCCGTCTACACTGAAGTGCAAAGTCAGCGTTTTCAAAATCCTCCGGTTTAAAGAACTTTTTCGGATGGATTAGTGTGGAAGGTAGGCCTGACCGTAGAAATGAAACTGCCTTCTCAGATTTCTCCGGCGTGGTGTGGACGAGGCATGCCATCTATCGTAAAAAGGTTTGGCAGTTTTTCACCAGTTAACAGTTGATAGGCTCCCAAGCCTTAGCTTCCAATTGCTTACAGAGAATCACTTAGCTATGGAATTACAATCGAACATGGTGGAAGCCGTCAGAGATTACAGAAATCTGCAGGACTCTTTTGTAAACAAACTTGACGGCTCTGAGGAAATGAACGAACCAGTTTTCCAGCGATCTGCGAATATACTGTTTGACTGGTAACTTAATTTCCTAGCTCTGGAATGATATTGATTGAAAGTCCGAAGAAAAATCTTTAATGTTAAAAATATAATATATAAAATATATTTCCCGGCTCGTAGCCTATGACAATTATTGAAATGTCTTCTAGAGTCACAGACATTTGCTATGTATAAGGCTCAATTAGATTAAGTGTTACTTTTTTGCTCATAAAAGAGAAAAATTGCCTTGCAAAATCATTATCTCATAAAATGAAAAACATTTTTAATGTGCGTTTCAAACAGGACTGTTTATACGGCATCTCAAGGGACATTACTTTACAAGTAATTAATTCATGTTAAACGAAAGCATACTGCAATCACTTACTTATTTCGACGTGTAATCTGCTGAAGTTCAGTAGCTTTCAGAGGAATTCTATGCCAGACGGGTGTGAACTTTGCCGGCTTAGAACTAAAATGAGGAAAGAAATAGTGCACGTACAAAGTAGTTGTTACGACCAAAACTTAGGCGGAAGAAATCTGAAATACTTATGCAGTTACTATTTAACGTGATATAGGACAAAATTTGCTGATAAACTTGTTGCCCTATTCATTTCTTTTACAACTACAATATATCTACAGAAAAATTTGACTATAAAATTTTGACCATAAAACTCTAATATCTACAATTCCCTAAGAGTGTTAGCTAGGAATGGTGCCACTGAGTTTTCTATGGGTCAGAGTGGACCTTTTTTCTATATTACTGAGATAATTCAGGCCACCCTCTTTTTCATGCGGAAGTGGGGCACAAAGGGCCAACTCGTCCTCTCTTGTGTCAATATAGTACTTGAAGGCATGACTTCTGGCTTAGTGACCCCTCCTCCTTTGATATAGGTTTGCTTTGTTTTACTTTTAATTTCCTTGAGACTACCACGCATATTGAATCGGTAATTAGCTCCCTTGTTCAGATAACATACGTCACGATCTTAATAATCTGCGATTCTGACTACACTCACAAGAGATATCCATCACATTTACACGTTGGCGAAGATTTTCAGGATTCAGAGGCTGTCATTATGAAGTTAATCGAAAATGTTGTGGATTTAATATGAGCAAGGCTCAGAATTTGACACATATTTACCCGACAACCCAAATGGAAATTTTGAACCACATAAAAAATAAATAGATAAATAAGTACGTAAGTAAATCAATCAATCAATCAATCAAT